CAAGAGAAATCAATTTCTTGTGTCAGAGGATATAATTATTCCATTTGACCGTTTCATTACTAACTACCGATTTTGCCCAGAAATCAATTTGCAAATCTGCACAACACCTCCTCAACTGAAGGGCATTATTGGAATTTTATCAAATAACACCACCAGCTTTTTCAAAATAACCTGCTGTGTCAGATGAAAATGAGATTATCAAGGATAATGGGGCCCACGCGTATTGCAAAATCCTGTTCAAAAATGGAAAAAAAAAGGGGGGTGTCAACCGGGGGCTGATTATCCTATAGTTTTAGAGGAATTCTTCGATAGTGAAGCTACTTATTCTAATGCATTGCCAAATTTACAATGACAAGTCTAGATATTTGGTTTAAGATGTAATTCAGTAAGACAACTAATTTTACAAGGTTTAATCCCCATAGACTATTTCGACTTAAGTCAAAACTTGGCAAAATCCTTTGACAAAAGGCTTTGAAAGGGATTTAGTCTAGAAAATATTAAAAGGAATGAGATTGTGGCCAATAAATAATCATCAATGATGAAAATTTGACTTAGCACTTGATACTTAAAAGCTCTGAAGTTCAATGAGTAAAGTACATTATTTAAATGATTGCAAATACTAAGACTTGATCACAAGATTAAAGTGTTTGATAAACGTATCAAGAAAGGAGGTGTTGAGCTATCAAGCTCTTACTAGGTGTATATAGATGCCCATAAAATACTTTAGATACGTAAGTATTCTCGACAATTCTACCTATATAAATATCGGGGATGATGCTGCCCCCAAAGTGGTTGGCCAACTACTTAAGATGTTCAAAAATTAAACCAGAGTGTAGGACACATGACCTATTCATGCATTGATTTATTCACGCACTGATTTATTAAAAGATTTTTGAAGTTTGTGCATGGAGTGCTTTCAATTAGTCATATAGGATCGCTATTTCAAAACCAAGCTACCATGTCACATTTGTTAGTATTTGAAGTATTTTCATTGAGACGAGGAGAGGTTCAAGTCTAAAAGACCGTTTCACTTATTAGCGAACTTATTGAGTTTATGTGAGAGAATTTTCAAATTCTCTGTTTCGTGCACGAATAAAGGAGTTTTTGATGTCTAGATTTTCATTATTCTTAAGAATCAACAGTATCTAAAAGATGATCATGTTGCGGTCAATGATGGGGGATTTGGGGGGACTCCCAGCCCATTGTCATTTTTTATGGGTAAATTTGTTTAAATGTTTGTGCTACATGTAGACAATGATTTACATACACATGATGTCTTGAGATACGATTGAGTCTTTTTTTTTTAACTAAAATTTTTTTTCTCTTTTTTTGACACTTCATCTGTACATAAACAATAATATAATTCCTTATGAATAAGTGGCATTATTCATTTTTTTTAATTAATAAAATAAATTATGCGTAATTTTTTTTAATATATTAGCCCAACTTAAAATAATTTTTAGTCAAATCCTGAATCCATCTTTGATTGCGATATTGTTTTGGAATTCCGATAACGCGTTCATTTATTTATTTATTTATTTATTTTTGTCGTTTTCGACCATACATTAGTTAATTAGTTTATAATTGAACAAATAAAACACCCAAAAACATGTGGGGTAGCAGAATATCGACTGATAATCTCTATACATTATTTATAGAGAGAACAAGAAAAAAGGTTCTAAATGCTGTAAACGTGGTACTCCGTGATTGGACCATGAAATGTTATGATTATGTAGAATCAAATTGACCAAATGATAGCTATCCAAGACCAATTTGCATGGAATGGAATTACAGGGGAAAAAAGGAAAAGTGTCCCAAATTTCAATGTCATGTACATGGAGTTGTGGGGTTAAAGCAGGACAGTACTGGATCCTTTGTAAAGCCGACCAATACTAAAGAAAAAGAAGATTTTGGCACACCCAACGTATCCACTCATGATTTGGTCCATCCGCGGACAAGGCCACTCTAATTTCACTATCTAATATTCCGACTCCACTTCCATTACCTAACTATAATATTTTCTCAATTTAATTCTTATCAACACATCTTTTATATATATATATATATGGAATTGATTTTGCCTAGAAATTATTTTACTGAAATTTGTAATTAATTGTGTTTGATTGGCACCTGAAAAATGTTGAAATTTTGAATATTTTGGTGTTTGTTTGACTTTGTTTTTCAGGAAATTGTTAATTAAAGAGAATTTTTTTCACAATTATGAATAGAATTTGTTTATATTGCAAAAGATAAAAAAATATATTAAAAAAAAAAAGCAAAAGACAACCTAGAAAACTAATTCCCACCCCTCAAAATCAATGAAAACTCACCGTGTGAAGCAATCCAAGAACTGCAAATGTCAAGAAAGCTTTTTGGATCAAACAAGACATTTTGGGTGGAAATGGAAATTTTTTTCCATTTTCCATGAAAATGGCCTCGATCAAACAGGCCATTAATTCCATTTAGACGCTCAAAACTATCAGTCATCATTCCTCAAAAAAAAAATCATAAAATGTTACTACTTTCTTTTTCGAACAGAAACAAAAATATAAGGGTTTGAGTTACTCTTAATGGCATTAATCTTTTAAAATGAAACTCCAAGACCTTATATCGCATCAGATTATCAAAGTCCGTAGACAATATTTAAATTATATACAAATTAAATTAAGTGATTAAACATGTTATTAAAATAAAAAGTATATATGATGATTTTCAAGTCTCATCATCATAAATTGTACACGTGAATCAACGTTAATCGAAGTTTACATGTTCGGGTGGGAAGTCAAATTAGTTTGCAGTTCAAGCTACATAACTCACAACGTGTATTTTTTACCCAATAATTTCCCACTTTATGTTAATTGGTGCTTTATAAAGTATTAGTATTTAATTAATTAAAGTAAGCCAGCCGTGTGAAAGTGTCACTTTCGAATATAACTTTAGTTGTGGTTGTGTGCCCTCAATTGTTTATCTAACTAAACCACCATCGTGTCAATATCCCGTTTATAAAGAAAGGAGAATACTTTTTTGTACATAACTATTTACATAATATTTTACGTAATGACGGTGTATCAAAATATAAATGGAGAAGTTATTTGATTGATAAGATTTTGATTCAATTAAATCTCGTAATATCTTCCGTTGGTAAACTATTATGTAAATTATTATGTATATGTCACACAACCCATAAACTAATTCCCTAGCACATAGATGAGAGTGATGCATATTGTCAAATGTGGAAATTCTCTCTCAAAATTCGAGTAATAGTTCGTATTTAATACAAGTGCACATCATGCATATATTGCAACATCACGTTCGGTACGCAGTTTGAATACTGTAATAAATGAAATTTTAGCATTTTCTTAATACTGTTCAAATTTTCTTTACCAATTAAGCCCCTGTTTATCTACCATTAATCCAAAAAATTGTTTGCTACAGTAAGATTCTCCACCAAACATTCACCCAATAAAATATTCTACACACAAAACAATAAAATTACTTTAATTTTCAACCACACATTCTCCAAAAAACACTATTCATTACACTGATTTTCTCCCAATAATGGGAGACAAACAAGCTCTAGACATGCCCGAAAAAGTCAATATATATGTATATAAATGGAAAAGCTTATTAGTAGAATATTGAAAAAAAAGTCAACATTATATGTACATCATATAATGTACATCACATTAAACATGCCCGAAAAAATCTATGTATGTATATATAATCATGTGAACTTCTAGCGTAATATTGTTAATATTGTAATGCTCATTCGGAATGGAAAAATTCTGATCTTATGAAGTCCTAGCAAAGATGGTCCAATATCGTTCGTTTTTTGGTGCTCTAAAATTCGGTCAAACAATTAATAACATTTATCGTATGAAACCCCGACACAATATTGTAACGTTCATTTTTTCGTGTTCTAATGTTTGATCAAATAAAAAGAAATATCTTGCATAACATTTTTTTCAAAATTATGAAATTTTGTGCAAAAAGAATCGATATATAACTATGCCAGTATTAATCTTTCTTAGAAAAAAAGAAAAAGAAGAAAAAAAGCCACAAAATTTGCAAACATTTATAAACATTTCATTATGCTTATGTTTGGTCCGGATTAAAACATGATTTTAATCCAAGTGAAAGTCAAACAATCAATATTAACCACATATTTCATGGGTTTCACAACTTTTCAACAACACATTTCAAAAACTTCTATCAAAATCTACTAAAAATCTAATTTTAGAGTAATACTACTTGCAGTGGCTCACTGCAGTAGTCGCCCTATGGGGCACACACATGACATGTAGTTATTTGATGTATTAATGTGATAGTTTTTTTACCACATTTAATGCATCAAATACACACTTGATATGTATGTGCCACATAGGACGACTGCTGTAGTGAGCGACTGCAAGTAGCATTATTCCTAATTTTAATCTCCTTAAACACCCCCGTAAGTATTCTATTCAATTTTTAAGCACCTACTACCATTAAAATTTGGCCGCGGGGTGAGAGAGAGTTACAAATGACAAATTAATAGAATTAAACTGTCGGTCGAATGCAGAATGATTAAGAATTTAGACCAGACATTTTGCTAATTCATAAAGGTTATGATGGTCTATAAACCCTAGTTAACAAGAAAATCACTAAAGCAACTTCTTTTCTTTTGCAAAATTGGTTAAATTTGATTTAAAGCTACAAAGGTAAATGGCATAAACATTGATCGAAAAGTAAAAAGGGTCTGCGTTGCAAACCTAATCCAACACAATTCCTCTTTAGTAAAGAAGGTAACAACACATTTTTATTACATATATATGTGTGTGTGTGCATGTATTTTCTTTCCATACAATATGAAACTTAAAAACTATTTCGATCCCAAACGAAATTAATCGTATACAAAGAAACCTAATATTCAACCACAAAAATATAAGAGAAATATTGTGTTTGCAGTGTCTACAGAACTCGATAGAGTCACGAGATGGTATCATTAGGATTAGTAAAATTTACTGAGATGGATTATAGCCGGGAAGGTTATCAGGCCATTGATTTGGGTTGATTGAGAAACCCATTCCGCTGCTGTTGGTGGTGGTGCCAGCGGTGTTGTTGTTCCAGAAATCTGGGGTTGAGGCTGAAGAGGTGGTGGCGTTGCAGATGAAGTTTTGAGTCCAAGAACCAAGAGGCCTTGGTGGAACCACGTAGTGCTGTGATGGGAAAGTTTCATTCTGATGTTGGATTTGTCCCGCTGGAAGATTCATCCCTTGCAAAAGTGCCATGTTCGCACCACCACTAAAATGATGGCCACCACCCAAATTCACTGGCACCTGATTGATTCTTGGCTGCTGGTTTAGGGATTGCATGGAAGCAAAAGTGGACAAGAATTCTCCACCAGGATATAAGGAACCAATTGAAGGCAAGGTCCTCACAGATTGGTTCCCGGGTAATATCCCAGAATTCCCCAAAATCCCACCGGCGATGCCAATCAAATTCTGCTGTGGAAGTGCTGGTATTAGAGGTTGAGTTCTTTCCCTGTCGCCACCACTGCTCGAAGACGACGATGGGCCTTTGCTCCGCTTGTTCTTCCTGCAGCCACCGCCAACGGGGACGTTCCTCATGGTCCCCCCTTGAGTCCAGTACCTTCTGCAAGCCTTGCAGAAATAACGCGGTTGAGAGAGGCTGTAATTGTTGAAGTAGCAGAATTTGGTGTTGACGGAGTCACAGCGAGGGCACCTTTGCGGCGGAGGAGGTTGGTGGCGAGCCATTTGCTCCGGCGGCTTCACTCCGCGTCGATTTTGCTGATCTTCCTGCCCTTCTCCTCTCCCTTGCGCTTCCATATATACTTCCCTCCCTTTTCTACGTTTATTGTATGTATGATTTGGGTAAGTGTCTAGTTTTTTATATAAAAGTAGAAGTCTGTGTTTTGGCTTGTAATTTGTGATAGAAGAGATTATTCAACGCTTATGAATATGTATGCAATCTGATGGGATTACGAGAATCAGATGATGCAGTGGTAAAATGGTGCATGAGATTTCATTTCTTCTCTACCTACCCACCTTAAAAACAATGGATTTTCTACAGTCCATAAATGATTAACTGAAATTCGAAATCTAAATCTTTCTTGTAATATCTATCTAAACCCACAAAATCTACTAGGATTTCATGCCCTAATTGATGTTTAATACTGGAAAGAGATAAAAAAAATTGGGTGGTGCATGTAGAGCTTTAGAGAGAGCTGAGAGAGAGGTGGCTGTGACACAGGAGCTCACAAAAGAACTCTATCTATATCTCTCCCGAAGAGTCGACAAACAGTGTTCAGATTCTGTTACATGCGAAGTGAAAAAACAAAAAGGAAAAAGAAAGGACCTGTTTAGGCATAATCACACCCCAGTAAAAGAAACCAAAAAAAATCTTTTTTGCAGCCTTGATCAATAATCGTAGCCGCTGGTCTGCATAATTGCAAATGGCCTAAAACATGCACAGATATATCACTGACCCAAATCAAAACATAATCAAGATAGATTAGGGTAGAGCAGAAAGGTGTTTGTCGGGTTAACAAAGGCGCCGCCGGCCGCCGGCTTCAGTCTGACGGTGGGATGCTAGTGGTGGCTGTCGGATTCAGCCTTGTCCTTCACTGCTTAAACTCTCTACTCTTTGTCTTGTCCCACTTTCCTCTCTTGTTTGTTGTTTCACTTTGTGTTGAGGATTCTCCTCCGATATTTCTGACTTTGTATTCTTTCTGACATCAGTTGGGAGCCGCCCAACCCTTAATTCCAAGAACAGTAATTTTAACTAGAAAGACAAGAAACCCCCTATCTTTACTAGAAATTAATCTACGAGAATAACCTATATTTTGTCGGTTTATTGCATGATCAATTGTCCTGTTAACATTAATATTCATTTACAGACATTTGTGTTCAAATTTATCAAGTTGATAGTCTCACTAGGTTGTATAACTTAGCGTGCTCCAAATGAACGGAGTATATAAAAAATCTTGACACGAAATAAACTAATTTATTTTCAAGAAGCAAATGAGTTTTTCGAGTCTGAAAGGTTATATCAACAAAGTGAGGAAAAGAAAAGAGAAGAAAATAAATTTTATTTTAAAATTTTAAAAAGTTAGTGGTCATTAGTTCGACTCTTCAAGTGAAGTATTGTGATCATAATCATATTTAACTCGCTAAGTTGGTTACATGTTTTTAAAAAACTACTGGCCTCCAGTTTGACTCGTTAAGTCGATTATTGTAATAATCATATTTAACTCGGAAAGTCGGTTACAATATTTTAAAAGTTACTTGTTATCGGTTTGACTCGCAGAGTCGATTATTGTAATTATGATTTAATTCACAAAGTCGGTTATTATAACTACAATTTCGGTAGAATTTTATTAAGATAAGATAATGTTATAATAACTCCACCAATTACTTTTAGGGGGAAAAGAGAAGGTGCAGATTTCATCTTCATGAATTTCGTCGAATTTCTATGATTATAACTGATAATATCAAAAATCCATCTTTCTCCCAAACTCGACTGAACTTCAAGTACCAAGAACTTCCGTCTGGCCTACTAGTGAAAAGTGACCGGACCTCAAGGTTGGCATTGACACTTCTTCACCCTCAATACTACTGTATACACCAATTCGACGTCCTAATACAGAGATTAGGATTTTGTCCTCCATCACAATGGTCCATTCTTGACCTGAGGGATGATTGAGAACAGGCCTTATCCGACCTCCAAGGTCCCAAGGAAGTATATGACGCTCTCCTCACAATGGTCTGTTCCCGACTTAAAGGGTGTCGATGACGCATCTCCTTCCGAACTCCTTATCCCGAGATGCCAATCGTGTGTTTCCCAAATTTTGTACCCAACACCAACCATGATATGGTCAGGTAAGAGTGATCACGGATCGCCCATTCCAAATAGACAAGCCTAGCCTTATTTTTATTTAAAGAAGGCTAATCCTTCTATATTTGGATACTGTCCTAACAATAGTCATAAAAGGATACGGTTTCCCAGGTGTTTGGGCCGGTCCATAGACCACAACCAATCAAGTCCTACTCGGTATGTATTATTTAAAAACACTGTGTATATTATCTCTCAACTTTTATTGATGCAAGCATCAGAGGGGCTACGAGACCATATCTTTTGGACTTTATTTCTGGTATTTAGGAGCAATGTTCGTGATCATCCCATGTTCGGATCGACGACGTGCATTCCTGAAAAATGATTTTAGGATTAGTGAGTGAATTTATTAAGAATGCTTTGGGGATTATGAAAGCTAAAGGGAGGCATTTTATGATTGAGCCTATCTACATGAACATTTTGTTTCATAAAGCATGGTGAACATTGCAAAGGAACTCACAACGATGGGCATCTTGTGTCGGTGCTTCCACATGTACAATGATGTTGCGACAGAGGCTGTCCATCCGAGGAACTAATGTCGAGGGGTATAGGGTAAAGGTTGGTATTGGAAGTGGTATGTACAATGGCACTATGGCAGATATGCAAGGGGCACTGCATCAAGTGGTGGCGCTGCAATTGAGAAATTTATATACCTATCAACATGGGGGAGAATGCAAAGCGGTAGTTGCACGATGACACGAGGCACGCAATCCGCTATGAGCCTACGGGGCATTAGCAAATTGGATGGAGGAATTTGTCACGTACATAGCGAACTCTCCTCCTCATGTGGCATGGCAAGATCATTAGCAGTTGGTTGTATGATCTATATTATCGAAAAGTACACTAAAGATGCCATCATATGCAGGTATAGTTACAACACCCTATCCAAAAGATTTGTGCGTGCCTTACGTACACTCTTGCCTACTTGTGTGAGAGGGAGGCTGTCTATAGGGCCTGCAGGATCCTGGGAGCCATAGGGGCAGTTCGTTACAGGCGGCATTGTAGAATAAGTGAAAAGCTAACTAATCCTTGGTTAGCATTTTGAGAGACTCAAACAAGTTGTTCCATAATTTGACCGATAAATGATTTCCTATCTTTGGCTGATCGAGCATTTACATTAGGGCGCTATATTAACCTATATTCATCATCCAATTGCTTGGTGCTCATCAAGACTCACTGAAATTTGCATCATCGAATGAAGTTACAGTAACATTGATGGTCATTATTAGTATACATGTCAAATTAAATGCGGTAGCATTTAAAGCCCATCGTCGTCAAATTGATATAAAGGATGTCTCCTTGGATTCTTTCCAATTTGGGCAAGTTGAACTCTTCCACTTTGGTTCTTCATCACGACCAATCAATTTTTCCAATGACTAAATTGTGTTGATAATGGTTATCTATATTTATGGGACAAAGATAGTATAATATGATTAGGGTAAAATCGAATTAAAATTAAAAATATAGTCGTTATTGGGTCCCGCTTGTCTAATAAAAATCAACAATAACGGCTAGTTTTTAAAGTTTAATCTGATTTTAATCTCTACCGAACACGCCCTAAAATTGAATTAGGACCATGTTACATGTACATAAAGGTTATCACAATAGTTTACGTCCATGTGAGTTGACAGATTTTGACACATTAATCTTGACAATACATTTTCTAATCAACTGTCAAATTTTTTACACATAAGGAGTGTTAATCAAGGTGTATACTTTATGTGTACAAGTAGTTTAATCAATTGAATTATACCCTATCATTCAAATACAAAGACCGTTACCCGTCCCAAAGAAACTGTGGTCCTCAAGCCATTTCCAATAGAGATACCAAAACACAAAAATGCACCAAAAAATGGTGCAAAATGTCTCCAATGTAGCACTAACCTTTGCATTATTTGTGCAAAATGGTGCAACTCTATTCACTTTGTACCATTTTGCACCAAATGGTGCAAAGTCAATTTTACCCTTTATTTTCATTTTCCAAAAAAATTGATTAAGGGTATATTGTGTCATTTGTGTTATATATTTTTAATACAATAAATTATTATTATTATTATTATTATTATTATTATTATTATTATTAAATTTTAGTAGTGTAAAAAATAATGGTTAAAAGTTTAATATTTTTGTTCATTTAACGTGATTATTTCCTTAGTAATTTATGTAGTTGTAAAATAAATAAATAAATTTTCAAATAAATAAATTTTTAAGAATAAAAAATGAAGAAAATGATTAAATATTGTTCATTTGGTGTAAGTTTAGGTGTAATTGCTAGAGATGATGTGTAAGATTTGATATAAAATTGTACAAAATTTATCTCAAATTTTGGTGCAGGTTGGTGATGGCCTCCTATTAGGGATGACAAAAAAATTCGACAAACCCAATATCCTCGGGGCCCCGTCTCGAACGGATTATTAGCTAGATTGGTACAACTCATACGAAAAAATATTCCCACAAGGAAAATAGCGTTGTTAAATGGAATTCTCACGAATCTTATAGGATAATAAATATTAGATATTCATTTTTATCAACTATTAAATCCTCCAGTTATAAGGAAATAATAATTTGGTCATTAAATACTGAATTAGAAAATGCATCCTCGAACTATAAGGAAATGTTGTTTTGGTCATCCAACTACTATGAAGTTGCAGATTCATCCTCCAACTCTAAAAACTATAAATGAGTGAATAATAAACTGGTTATCCAACTACTTAGAAGTTGTAGATTCATCTTACAACTCTATGGAAACTTCAAAATTTGGTCATTTAACCAAATGGTGATTTAGTCATTCAACTACCTTAAAATTAGCATATTCATCCTCAAACTATAAGGAAACAGTAAATTGGTCATCCAACTGCTATTAAACAATAATTTCATCTTCATCTATTACGGAAAATTTATTTGGTCATCCAACTCTTATAGAACACAAATTTAG